ACGCGTCGAAGCTGGCCCGCTAGAGCCCAGATGGGGCCATACGGGACCAGATCTGGACCAGGGTCGCATCGCCAGCCACCCCGCAACGCCCAGCCCCCAAGGAAGGCGCCACCACCATGCTCGCCGTCGGGCACCACCACCAGGGCGCCGGGCTGCCGTCGGCACCCCCTGCCTCGGAAGAGGAGTTGCACGGGGAATGGAGGTCCTGCCGCCGCCAACACCACCTGGGCCAGATCCGGGGGCGCCCGCTGGTGGCGGCGGGGGAAGAGGGAGGAGGAGGGGGCGGAGGGAAGGGCTGGTACGCCGCCCCAACCGCCCCCGGGGGAGGCGACGCTAGGGCGAGGAAGGAGGAGGGGGTCGGGGTCCCTCGGCTGCCATTTACCCTAAAGAATAGTCCACGCAATACCCACTCGACATAAGGTCGGGACACCCAAGTCGTTGTAGAGTTTGTTTATCGCACTTATGGCGTCTCCAATACTTGTAAGATAGTTGTCGGTAGATTTTGCCACATATGATTTTTTTTATGTCATAGCATAGAATAAGTGAGGAGAGGAGGGGTTGTATTTTCATGAACCAATAATCTTTGCACAAGCTTCAAAAAACAATGAGAAATACCTTGTATATTATCCATCCTTGCCAAAATGTAGTGCATGTGAGATTTTTTTAAAGTCAAACTATAAAAACTTTGACCAAGTTTATATGAAAAATGAACATCTATAATACCAAATTAATACATTGGATTCATCATGAAGTATATTTTCATATGTTGTACATTTAACATAGTAGAAATAGATAATTTTCGCAATAAACTTGGTCAAAGTTTACATAGTTTGACATTAAAAAAAATCTCATATGTACCATATTATGGCAGCGAGAGAGTATATTTCACCTCTCATTAAACTACATACACTTTGTTGTAGTAGTTGTAAGATGAGATGTTGGTTCATGACATGGGTATTTTTTACCGACAATGAAACAAACAAACACTATTACTCCATAATACGGATCTGTCCATGGTGGATTTGCTCGGATCTTGTCGTAGTTCGTCTATGTTCGTGTGTCTTCAGGTTGGATCATTCCGATCTATGCTACTCTTCAACGACACCGGTTGTTGTTCTAGTGCGCTTGTCCTATGGGGCCTTAGCATGACAACTTCTCATTTGTCTATTACAACAAGTTTTGTCTAGCTTCGGCGAGGGAGGGGCGATGACATCGGCTCGCTTCAGTGTTTGTCGTCATCGATAGGTGGTCTACGGACCTGGATGTAATCTTTATTATTTCTACTATCCGTTGCACTGTCGTTGTTCAAGATTAATAGATTGAAAGTTTTTCCGAAAATATAGGTTATTCATCTTTCTCTTTTCTCTCCTTTACCTTTTTCACACAAGGACACTCATGAATAAGAGTCCACCTCTTTTTTTCTCATTGCCTCTCTCCTCTACATTATCAAAAGTGCTACGAATCGAAAACAATCTTATAACCCACTATTATATTGCTGTACTTGCTCGATCTCTAACAACGTATAGACACCGCACACGCCTTCCGGAGCTCTCCATCGATCCCAGAGGCCCGAGTCAACTTCGTCTTCTTGCCGTAGGTACACATACATGGAGAGACGTAAAGAATGGGGGCGATCAGATCGCTAGGTTCATACGCGATAATTAATTTGCATCTGGATCGAGTAAATTAACGAAAATCCTACACTTACGGACAAGAAGGCACGGAGGGAAAGCACGGGATTAATGGTCAAGTTTGAATGAATGGTCAAGTTTTGCTTTTGGCACTTAATGGATGTCCAAACCTTTCGGTTTTGCTGTTTCTGCATGTTTGCTGTTCATTTTTATATTTTTATTTCATGCTAAAAACTCCTAAAATAAGGACGTGAGTAGCCATAGGATGCCGTGAATTTGACGTAACCATAGGATGTTAGGGCTACTCTAACCGGCCGATCCAAATGGATACTGATTTTGTCCCTTTTTTTTTCGTTTGGGTTAACAGAACGGACAACGGACAGGGACTATGTCCGGGCAGGGACTATGAACGCAACGGTGGTTAGGATAAATTTTGTCTTAACCACTGACTCCCACTTGCACGCTCGAAAAACAAGTTCTCACAATCCTGCCACTAGTTTGAATGCATGCACTAAATGATAAAATTGCTGACGTCATCTTATAGTAAATGTGAAATTCAAAAATTCAAAATGTTTTGTAGCTCAAAACATTTATTCGATTTATGATCTGTTTTCACTGTTGCAAGATTTTTTGAAATTAGATCCTATATTAAAATGTTTCGACGATACTTTGTTTACCCAAAAGCTACCCACCATTAACATGTAAATTGTCCACCCAATCAATTATTACTTTTTGTGCGTGGCTAGATCTCAGTTATATCTGGCCACGGGATACTCGGTCCACCTCGCCCGACCCGGCCCGAGGCACACGCCGGGCGGGACCTAGGCCTGAGTTTTGAGCCCGAAGCACACGTCGGGCCAGACCTGGGCTTGGGTATTTCATGTTCAGGTTGTCATACTTAAAATCCGAAAGTTTGGGATCTATTATTTTTGTTTTTATTTGTTTTTTTCTATTCTCTTAATAAATGGTCAAGTTTTGCTTTTGGCACTTAATGGATGTTCAAACCTTTCAGTTTTGTTGTTTCTGCATGTTTGTTGTTCATTTTTATATTTTTATTTCATGCTAGAAACTCTTAAAATAAGGATGCGAGTAGCCATAGGATGCCCTAAATTTGACATAACCATAGGATGTTAGGGCAACTTTAACCGGCCGACCCAAATAGATATGGATTTTGTCCGCTTTTTCCCGTTTGGGTTAACAGAACGGACAATGGACAGGGACTATGAACACAACGGTGGTTGGGACAAATTTTGTCTTAACCACTAACTCCCACTCGCACGCTCGAAAAACAAGTTCTCACAGTCCTGCCGCCACTAGTTTGAATGCATGCACTAAATGATAAAATGGCTGACATCATCCTATAGTAAATGCGAAATTCAAAAATTCAAAATGTTCTGTATCTCAAAACGCTTATCCGATTTATGATCCGTTTTTACCGTTGGACTAGTCACGTCAAGATTTTCAAAATTAGATCCTATATTAAAATGTTTTGACGATACTTATTTTACCCAAAAGCTACCCACCATTAACATGTAAGTTATCCACCCAATCAACGATTACTTTCTGTGCATGTCTAGATCTCAGTTATACCTGGCCACAGGATACTCGGTCCGCCTCGCCTGACCCGGCCCGGCCCGAGGCACACGCCGGGCCGGGCCTGGGCCTAAGTTTTGAGCCCGAAGCACACGTCGGGCCAGGCCTGTGCTTTGGTATTTCACGTTTTAGGGAAGGGGCCTGGCCCGAGGACCGGCGGGCTTTTCCTCTGACGGGTCAGGCTTGGGCCTAAAAAAGTAGGCACGACGGCCAGGTCGGGCTGAGCTCGGGCCTAGGTTTTCTGCCTCGGGCTTGGTCAGGCCCGGCCTGAAGCCCGACCCAGCCCGAGGGATGGCCAGGTATAATCTCAGTCGACCAAGAGTCAAGTAATAGAACATATAAAAAGAAGTAAAAAACAATTTAAAAGAAATTTTACACGAATCTTCATGCAAGATCTCACGAATATAGCATCGACTGAGACTTCATTAAATCTTAGTCAACTGAGATTTAACAATCCTAATTAATTTTCAGTTTGAAACTATATCCCGCTTTTGATTGTTCTCTTCAATTTTTCCGAGTTTTAAAGTTACCACCTAGTTTCAGAAGTGAGTTACCATTTTGGGACGTGTACAAGTGGGTAACTATACACAAGGCCTGTTTGTTCCTTGAATTTAAGTGCCAACGTCTGTGTACATGCATTTGTATATACTACTCCCTCTGTAAAGAAATATAGGAGGGTAGAGTGATCTAAACACTTTTATATTTCTTTACGGAGGGATAAAAATTAAGGGACGTGTTGGATCTTACTTCGAGCCCCAAGGCTTGTGTGGGCCATGGATGAATTAACACAACTGGACTTGAGAACCGATTTTCTACCATGCATGGGATATCCCATGCATGCATGCTGACACATGCACTATGGTTGTGTACTATACACAGTACAATCAATTCGGCTTCTCTCTGTTTCTACTTATCCACTTGATTCTTTTTCATTTGATTTTCATGTTTGTTTATCTTTGATTCAAAAGTGTGTTTTCCGATCTCTTTGTATATTTGTGTTCCTAGGGATGAGAGCTATGAAACGAGACCAATGTCGAATATATTATAATAAAATTTGAATTTTCAAACATGATTTAACTTAATGAAACAACCAAAAATCATAGACATTTGCCTAACAGATTGTACATAATGTATTGAAATACCTAGAGATTTCAAATTGATGCACAGGCAACTTGGTAGCACTTGGTAAATTTGTTTCAAACATAATATTACGAGTTTATATTCAACATGTGTTCTTATCAAGTTATAGTAGGTTTCTTCGTGTTCTAGACTACATCACTTTGTTACATAGATTTTTACACAAATATTCAAAACGTTTATAAACTAGACTATTGGAAAAGTTGGAAAGATAAAATGGATGCAAACTTGGAAACCATATGAAAAGACATGGGTGGGTACTGGGTAATTAATCTCTGTCACAAAGCTAGCTATTGAAAAAGTTGTCAATATTGATGGAGAAAATGGGAACGCATGTGCATGTAACCAAATCCAACTAGATGAACGGTTGTACCATGCATGGGATATCCCATACATGGTAGATATGCTTTTCTCAACTGGACTTGCTTCGTAGTACTGGCAACGAGATTTGCGTTGAAGATCCAAACAACAAGTTAAAAACTGCAACGGTTTAACACTGACATACTGCATCTTACATTTCTCCTACGTAATCAGTAACTCAGCATTCGTCCATGCTTAGGCTGACGGTAATTACGCAAAGCTTTCAAGGATGAGGCAGGCGGGCAGGAGGAAGAGGAAGATGGTGGTGGTGGCGGGACTTCAGAGGGAGAGGCCGCCGGACTCGTCGTCGTCGTCGAGGGTGGAGGAGTAGACGGTGTAGAGGGACCAGATGAGGCCGAACACGCCCAGCAGGATCCACCCCAGCAGGTTGTTGCTCAGCCCCAGGCTCAGCCCCGTGCCCTCCGTCGACATCCGCTCGTCCACCAGCGCCAGCGCCGGGGACGCCGCCGTCATGGCTGCGCTCGCCGCGGCCAGCAGCGGCACGCCTTTCACGACCGCCGGAGTCGCCGCAGCCGCCTCCTCCTTGCCGTCCTTGGAGTAGGCGCACCTCAGCTTCTCAGCCCTGGTCACCCTCAGCTGAGGGAGCCCTGCAGCCCAGCGCCCCAGCATCAGCGTCTCAACATTAACAAACTTCATATGGTCGACATTCTTACAGAGGATGACAATTGACAAGGTTGCCTACCTAGAGCTTGGGCCGGCCTGGCGGCGACGACGGTGGCGGCGGCAGGGCTGATCATTGCCATTGTAGACCTGACCCGAGCTCCGGGGGAGATGCAGCAAGTGAGAGCAGGGGAACCAACTGAAGTGAAGGTGAGCAAATTCTCTGGGTATCCCAGCGCCGTATATGTCCTATCCTCTTGGGTCCAATTGCCATTTGCCAACTGGACACCACAGGCACCTAACGGAAAAGTAACCAGAGGCTTGCACGGTGAAACGACATTCCAACAATGCAAACCCCACCAGAGTTGAGGTTGGAATGGTGGGCGACAGATCCAACACATCATCAAAGCAAAACCATCTACAAGTGCCATAAGTATCAGAAGGTTGCAAAGTGCACAGCATGGACAACGGACCTGGCACACCAGGAACCAGAGGATGCAGAGAGACAAACCAAGTGGGCATTAGCTACAGCCACACAGATAGATAACAGATGCTGCTTTCTTCTCCCCAATTTTCCATACATGGGTTCCTACAGCTCCACTAGAAAGATAGACATACTAGAAGTTCCACCTCATGCTTCCACTAGATAGATATACTAGAAGTTCTTCCACCACAGACAAAACGGACATACACGGCGTTCACTCCAGGAAGAGGTACATGGAGTCGGCCGAGGGCAGTCAGGCCGCGGGATCCTTTCACTTGAGAGGAATGAACCTCGAGGAGTGGGTGGCGCCGATGCCGGGCCTCCCGTGCTTGACGGGCTTGTAGCTGATGGAGAACTCGGCGAGGTGGTGCCCAATCATCTCGGGCTTGATCTCATTTATGACGAAATATTTCCCATTGTACACTGCAATTTGGCTGCCTATCATCTCTGGTATGATGATCATGTCGCGCACATAAGTCTTCACAGGCGCTGGCTTCTCACCGGCTGGTGCCTCCCTTTTCTGTACATTTTTTCAGAGAAAAGGGAATGAGCTTCGGTTGCTTGAGCTCGAACCAATAAAGCAATATAATTGATGGTTCAAATCAAAACAGCATTAGCAGTGAACTGTTAGAACTTGGTGTCACGCAAAAAACTTGGAAATGATGAAAACACTCAAATCAACACATATACAGTAATACAGATCACGTCGTTCAACACCTATCAAAGAGCATATACTTGGAAGTTTATATCATAGTACATTTCTAGTTATTCATTTTCTTTTCTTTCCTGCCACAATAACAAAATGGATACTCGTCACAGCAATTAGAGAACATTAAATGTATCCCAGTAGAAGATGCAAAATAGACTACCACCACTGTTCAGAACTACTATACAGCCATCTAGTGAGTCATAGTGGTCAAAAGACCAACCAATAGGATATTCACTTGTAAGATGGTCAATAGATATGCATTGATATTTGATACTTCCATTCATCCAACATCAATATTTCCACAACCACAAATCCTAAACCAGAAGATGCTAGCTCAAGAATATACAGTATGTGCACTAGACAAATATTCATTCTTCTGTAGAGTGAGCAAAATATTTGAGCCCATTCAAATAGAAAAGTGAGAATTGACATTTGGAAGTTGCAGTACTCCAGAAAAGATCAATTCATTTTGCTAAAAGTGAGTGTATTTGCAACGATGTATCCAAACATATTAAGTCAACAACCTGAACTGCAAATCAAAACTAGAATGAGTTGCCAAAGCATCAGAAAAGTGACATATAAGCAAATAATTTCAAAGATTTTATTAACAACCTACAGTCCCAACTTAATGCTCTGGTTGTTGCCAAACATCTTAGCGCCGCAAACAGTAAACATGCCACGATGTTTTTCTACACATCCTCATCAATAATAGTGTCAGTGAGCAAACAAAATGGACATTTCAGACACTACAGGCTGCAGCCAGAAAGAACGCACATCGAATTCCCCGCAAAAAAAGTATCAAAGTCGAATATTTGGGCCGGAAAATGTAATTGATCAGACGATTCCACGCTAGGCTCCAAGCACACATGCCAATTGCTGAGTTACAAATCACATGCAGTCAACAGCACGTCCATCCAAAAGAAAGGAGACACATTCAGGCATGCTGTCGCCGGCAAGTGGCACAACTATCTAACACGGAGACAGTTATAAATAGCAGGCAGTTCATCACACCCAGGAGCAGAGAGGCAAGGGAGGAGTGTCCATTACCGCCTTGCGCAGCTTCCTGATGAGCGCCAAGGGCCTCCGCTTCAGCCCCCACTGGAACCTGCAGCAACACCAAAGCACCGCACTTTCTTTCAGACAAACGAGCCAGCAGTTCACTCTTCCCTTCCCTTCCCTTCAACTTCGAGAGATTCCACTCTCGACGCACGCCGCTGGGGGGACGGGGGTGTACCTTCTGCGGCCGCGGGCGGGGAGGAGCTGGACGAGGTCGTCGGTGGACATGTCGAGGAGCGCGTCGAGGTCCACGCCGCGGTAAGTGAACTTGCGGAACGTCCTCTTATTCGGCTGCCCGGCGGCGGCGGCAGCGGCGGACACCTTCGTCCCCGCGGCGACGTTCGCCTGCAACGCGATTACGCGGCGCACGGGTTAGACGGACCGGCGATCGGGAAATGCGGGAGGGTTGGTTTGGGGGAGGGGCGAGGAGGGCGGAGGGCGGAGGGCGGAGCTCACCATGGCTGGCTGCGGCTGGTTGGGGGAGGAGGAGTGGAGGTGGCGAGGCACGGCTGTCGGGGGAGCAGCGGAGGAGGCGGCGCTAGGGCTTTGGCGAAAATGGGGTATGTTTGTCCGTGGCCGTGGTAATATAGTTAGGACATTTATTTCTATTTTTTTAGGATATTTCTATTTACTTTTTTGTTGATGAGTCGAGCATTTATTAGACTGGTGAAGTAGCTTATTCTCAATTAGGGCAACGCTACGCGTCGGCCGGATGATAATTTAAAAGTATCCCTTGCCCCAGAGCGTTGAATAACCGATCTCACTCCAAGAATGTCAGCTCTTGCAACAAGGCCTCTATTGCAGTCACAACAAAATCTTCTTCTACTCGGGTAGCCTATCCAGACAAAGTGTGTTGCCGCCGCACACATTGCAAAGCCTCGCCGTGCTATCGCGACAGCACCGGTGTTGCAACTATTGCAATCGATACTTGGCATAATATGGATGATGCAAACATTTTTCTTTATTTTCTGAACAATTAAAGACAACAAGGTAACAAGATGGAAACATGACTAAAAAAGCTCTACAATGCTTGGAAACAAGGCCTAGAGTCATATTTCACTAGTCTCAACTCTCAACATGATAACTTCATTAAAATGCATGGTACAACCTCATAAAGTTCTTTTTTGTTGGATCAATTCCAAAATAGTTAGTGTACGTATGGCTAGGTATACCTTTAAGTTTGTCGCTCTAAATCTGTAGTACATGCCCCAATGTCATATCAGGCATCCCCAAAACTATACTTAAAAGTTACTCCCTCTGTCCCAGCTTGCAAAGACGTCTTGCATTGTGAGATGGAGGGAGTACCTCATAATCTACATCGTTCAATCTTTGTCTAATTACTAGATATGAATCACATAATCTCATTAACTCCTTAAGTTCAAGAATATAACATGAATAAGATTTGATCCATAAAGGTACTTATTACAAGAGGAACATCGTACAATTCAACTAATCATCATGCCCACGATCATAATCATGGTGGGCAAATCATAAAATCAAGCAAGAGAGATGCTTGACACATAGCTACTACTGCAATCCCTAGGCCCCAAGGAGTTTACTCACACATCACCATGAGAGGATGATGAAGAAAATTGTTGGTGATGGTGATGGAGATGGCGAAGATGTCCCGGACAACATTCCGGCGCCACTAGAGGAGAGGGGGAAGGGGGTCCCTTCTTCTCCTTCCTTGGACTTCTCCTCTGGTTAGAGGGGTGTTTTTCTCCTCTGGTTTTTGTGGCTATGGTGATTTGGAGATGAGAACCTCCCCCCAGATGGGATCTGAATTTCGAGGGGAGTTTGCTTGTGGGTGCTAAAAATCTGAGCCCTGTCACCGCTTTTAACATTGCCGAAGATCCGTAACTTCGGAAATTTTGCAATTTTTATGACAGTCTAGAAACTTCTGAGAAAAGCCTGCAGTAAAAGAAGAGCTCTAGAAGCTTCATGTAGCCTCTAGACACCCCCAAACGTCCTGGGCCTGGGGACGCCTAGAGCCCCTCGGCAACTCCAGATGTGGGGCCCAGACCCTTGGCTGTCTCTTGATGCATATCTTCGTAATATATTTTTTGTGGATTTTTTGGTACTTTTCTAGGTGTTTTCCTGAAAATACAGAAACACCAGAAAACAGGAACTGGCCTGGATTAGTATGTTAGTACAATTAAAATCAATGAAAGTATCTACAGTGTGTTTATAATTGATAGCAATGTAGCATGAATTATATAAAAAATATTGATATGTTTAAGGTGTATCAACATCGAGATTGCCAACATTATTCATTAACCATGGTTTCTCTTCACCAGGCTTGTTGTGCGGCGACCTCCTCTTTGTCCTTATGTAGCTGCAGATGGGCGGGCACGGTGGCCTGCCTAATGGCCTACATGGCTCTGATTGTGGGGTCATCCCCCGGCAAGGGTGTGCTGAGTAGTCGCAGTGCCTCATGTGCAACGATCGGCAGGGTCGTTGTTGGTGCGGCGAAGTTCAGGGACTGGCTCTAGGGATCATGAACCCCGGGGTTTCGGTGCATGGGGCGGTGAAGCTGAGAGGATTCCGCTGGAGTTGAGAGCTGCTGGGTGCTGAAGACCGGTTGGCGTCGCTTCCGGAACCTCCAAGCAAAAACGGCCTGAAGCAAAAATGAAAACAAATGTTTGAAATTTAGAAAACTGTTCAACTTTGATAAGAGATCTGCTATTCAATAACGCGCAATCACACTTATGCATATGGGTGTGGCTAGGTCTCAGCCCAGTACATACCATGTAAGAAAGAAAAAATAAATTCTGAAAATAAAATTTTACACCAATCTTAATGTATGATCTCATGAATATAGCATCGACTGAGACATAACTACAATATTAGCTTCAAATTATATATTACCAGATTTTTTGAATTAATAGTGACCGTGGAATGAAAACTGATGGCCTACGTTTGGAACCAACCTTTTTCTATCGCTTCTTCAGGGCCTCTTTTCGCCCAAAGAAACCTGCAGGTAGGCTTCCAATCCTGAAGTTACATTTGCTCTGCTCAGTACTCGTGCATTTCTGCTCTGTCACCCCCGTTGCACATAGGTTCACGTTACCCCTAGCCGTAGGCAATCTATCCTTTGCTTCATGTTGCCAACCCGGCCCTGATCAAAAGAAAGCTCTCTCTGGCAAAGATGTCGTGTGAAATCTCAGCCTCGCAAGTATTCTTGCCTTGCACCCAGTGCCACCGCCCACTGCATGCCCCAAAACGATGCTTCACACGCACACATTTCATCGATCCCATTCCTTTCTCCTCCTCATCTCATCTCAGTGCCAATTCATCCTCGCCGTGCATCGGATCATCACGTCAGATCATCGGTCCACCGTAGGCATGCATTACTGACACCCTTCCATGATAACACCGATTTCACCGCAAGATCGCCGGCCGGCCAGCCACTGAGTGAGTCCGGTGAAGCTTAGCTACAGGCTCCGGCCGTCGTACACGGAGGTGGTCGGCAGGGCGGCCATGGGCGTCCGCATCTTCGAGGACCTGGGCACGATCGAGAGCCGGCTGCTGCGGCTGGAGGTGGTGGTGCTGCTGAGCGCGATGGTGCTGGCGGCGCTGGTGCTCTACGGCTCCACCCGGCGCCGGAGCAGCGACCGGCTCCTCCGCGGCGTCATGTGGATGGCCTACTCGCTCTCCTACGTCGTCGTCACCTACGCCGTCGGCATCATCCAGGACGGGCCCTTCCACGGCGAGACCTTCGTGCTGTGGGCGGCGGCGCTGCTGCTCATCCAGGCCAGCGCGTACGCGGCGCCCGTGCACAGCCGCCGCGACGTCGACCAGCGCAAGAAGCTGCTGCTGCAGCACGTCCTCCAGACGGCGCTCGTGCTCTGGCTCGTCCTCAACGCCACCGGCACCAACGCCAGCTACCGCGCCGCCATCTGGGCCTTCTGGAGCCTCAACGTGCTCAAGACCGCCGCCAAGATCGTCGAGATGATCAAGGCCAGCCTCCCCGACCGCTCCGTCAAGGTCGTCGCCGAGTACATGGACGTCGAGGAGTCCCTCGCCGCCACCGCCGCCGACCAGCGGCCGCCCGACCCCGGGACCATGGCCGGGTACAAGTACCTCTTCCACGGCGAGGACACCATGGAGCTCAACCACGAGTTCGGCCGCCTGTCCCGGGAGGAGATCCTGGTGCAGAGCACCTGCAAGTCCGTCGTCACCATCGACCAGGTCTACCGATGGATCGACGTGCAGGGGTACAGCGACGTCGAGAAGGACATGGCCAAGGACTTCTGCCTCGCCTTCGCGCTCTTCAAGCTGCTCAAGCGCCGCTTCTATGGCTACGTCCCGGCGGAGGCTGGCTCGGCCAAGGCACTGAGCCTCGTCCTGGACGGCCTCATCCACCAGCAGCACCCGCAGTCGCACCACCACAACCACCACCGGGACATCGCCACCGGCCCCGACGCCGCGTTCCGGGTCGTCGAGGCGGAGCTGGCCTTCCTCTACGACTTCTTCTACACCCGGAACATCGTGCTGGTGGGCGTCAGGACGTACATCTGCATCGCCGTCGTCGTGCTGGCGCTCACCATGTGGACGGCCTTCTTCGGCACGCTCGGCCCCGACTACCGCCGCCTCCGGATCGGCGTCAAGGACCTCGACCGCTCCGTCACGGTGGTGGTGATCGTGATCACCGCAGCGCTCGAGATGTGCCAGGCGCTGGCGGCCTTCTCCAACAACTGGAGGTACATCAAGACGGTGTACCGCTGCGTGCGCGACGGCCAGCCCTGGCAGAAGAAGCGGCGCGGCGGGCACCTCTGGTGGAAGGAGAGCCTCGCGCCACCGGACGCGAGGTACTGGGAGGACAAGATCGGGGAGTACGTGCTGCTCAAGCGCTTCGCGCACCGCCCGCTCAACCTGCTGTCGTGGCTGACGCTCTTCCTGGTGGAGCCGCGGCGGCAGGGGCAGAAGCGGGAGCAGAGGAAGGAGCTGCCGCCGCCGGTCCGGCGCGCCGTGCTCGTCTCGCTCAAGACGAGCCGGGGACACCTCACCAATGGCGTCACAGCATTGCGGAGGCACGGCCTGCTTCCGCGGCTGGCGTGGGCGTGCGAGTTCTCCAAGGCCACCGACCAGATCCTGGTGTGGCACATCGCCACCACGCGCTGCGACTGGGACAGGCGTCGCCGCGGCGGCCAACGCGGCGACGACGACCGCACCGACGAGCACCGGCTGGTGGCGACGAAGCTGTCCAACTACTGCGCGTACCTGGTGTCGTTCGTGCCGGAGATGCTGCCGGACCCGAGCTACAACGCGGAGCAGATCTTCGACACGGTGGTGCGGCAGACGCGGTGCCACCTCGCCGGCTGCAAGAACAAGGACGACATCCTCGCGAGGCTGCACAAGATCGAGGCCGACGAGCAGAAGTACATGGAGGGCGTGGAGGCCGGCGGCGGCGCGGAGGAGAGGGCGGGGAGCAGCACCATCGTGGAGAAGGCGGCGCT